CCCACTGTGCTGTGCCCCTCAGCAGCCCTCGAAAGTGGCGACAGGTTCACAGATCGCAGCCCCCCAGGGATGGCGAGGTCTAATTTGAGTCCGCGGTGAGTGCCCACTGTGCTGTGCCCCTCAGCAGCCCTCGAAAGTGGCGACAGTTTCACAGATCGCAGCCCCCCAGGGATGGCGAGGTCTAATTTGAGTCCGCGGTGGGTACCCACTGTGCTGGGCCCCCCAGCAGGCCTCGAAAGTGGCGACAGTTTCACAGATCGCAGCCCCCCAGGGATGGCGAGGTCTAATTTGAGTCCGCCCGTGGCGTCACTGTGCTGGGCCCCCCAGCAGGCCTCGAAAGTGGCGACAGTTTCACAGATCGCAGCCCCCCAGGGATGGCGAGGTCTAATTTGAAGTTGCTGGGCCCCCCAGCCCTCGAAAGTGGCGACAGTTTCACAGATCGCAGCCCCCCAGGGATGGCGAGGTCACTGTGGGTACCCACTGTGCTGGGCCCCCCAGCAGGCCTCGAAAGTGGCGACAGTTTCACAGATCGCAGCCCCCCAGGGATGGCGAGGTCTAATTTGAGTCCTACCCACTGTGCTGGGCCCCCCAGCAGGCCTCGAAAGTGGCGACAGTTTCACAGATCGCAGCCCCCCAGGGATGGCGAGGTCTGTGCTGTGGGCCCCCCAGCAGGCCTCGAAAGTGGCGACAGTTTCACAGATCGCAGCCCCCCAGGGATGGCGAGGTCTAATTTGAGTCCGCGGTGGGTCCACTGTGCTGGGCCCCCCAGCAGGCCTCGAAAGTGGCGACAGTTTCACAGATCGCAGCCCCCCAGGGATGGCGAGGTCTAATTTGAGTCCGCGGTGGGTACCCACTGTGCTGGGCCCCCCAGCAGGCCTCGAAAGTGGCGACAGTTTCACAGATCGCAGCCCCCCAGGGATGGCGAGGTCAAAGGCAGGGGGGAAGAGAGGCAGCGACGAGCGAGGTAAAAGGCAGGGGGAAAGAGAGGGACGGGAGGGGGTGGGAAGGAGACGCGCGAGCAGTGCTCTGTTCAAAACGAGAACCCAACGCAGGATGGTTGGGAACAACATAGCCTGCAAGGAACCCAAAGACAAACCCAACCACGCGTTTGTTCAAATCTGGCTTCAAACTGCCTACAGTCGTTCCAAAAGGGTTTCTAAGAGACAACATTCGGGAAACGCTATGAGAAGGTACAATAGCGTTCATGAGTACACCCGACACTCTTCGAAGGATTTGCTGACTGCCAGGCCTCCACGCTTGATGCCCACAAATACCTTGAAGACGGCGCCAAGACATACCGATCTAGCCCTGATCTGCAGATTTCAGATGCGTAAGATTCTGGTACCTAGGGGCCGGCAGCAGAGGGCGAAGCCCTTACGGATACACGCGCATACAGAAACACGAATGTGTAACTATGCACGCATCGACATCTATCAGCATGTATACATACTTATGATTATGCTATGTTTGTATACCTATATATATATATATATAACACAAAAAAACAAATAAAATCGAATACGTGTGTGTGCGTACTGTTCGCCACCTTGCGGCTGGGCATGGAGTGGGCGTGTCCTGAGGTTTGAAGGGGCCCGGGCCCCGAATCAAGGGCTCCTAAGTTCGCGCTTCGCGCTGCGCGAAGCGCGAAGCGCGAATAACTTCGCGCTCTCGCGCCGCCCTCCCAAAGGGAGAATAGGAGGACGAGGAGGAGGGGGAGAAGGAACGAGGACCGCGAAGCGCGAAGCGCGAATAACTTCGCGCCCTCGAGGGAGCCCTTGCCGAATTCTCACATCTCCCGGGGCTGCCAGCGTGCCCCCGGGGCTCCTGCGCATCTCGCCGCACGACGCTCTGGGGCCCAAAACGCCCACAGGACGGGCAACGAGAGCGCCAAGAGGCCCCCGAGGCGGTCCAAGAGGCCCCGGAGTCGACGAAAGGATCGCTCCACGACGCCCAAGATGGCCTCAAGATGGCCCACTACGTCTCCAAGACGCCCCAAGAGGCCTCCAAGAGGCCTCCCAAGAGGCACGAATCATTGATCGCAGAAGGTTTTGAAGGATTTGGACGTTCTCGCCGTTTCTGTTGTCCGACGCTCCAAGACGGCCCCAGAGGCCCCAAAGCCACCCCAAGGCGGCCCAAGAGGCCTCCAGACAGCCTAAGAGCGCCCCAAGACGGCCCAAGAGACGCCCAAGACAGCCAACGAGAGCCCCAAGACGGCCCCAAACGGGGTTCAAGAGAAGGAACACGAACTGTAAATCCGAGCCTTCCGACCAAACATGCCCCCAGGAGGCCCCAAGAAGCGCCCACAAGCCCCAACGAGTTCCCCAGGAGGCCCCCAATAGGCTCCAAGGGGCCACCAAGAGGCCTAAAGGAGGCTCCTAAGAGGCTTCAAAACGGCCCCCAGAAGGCCTCAAAACTGCCTCCAACTAATCTGGCCGCCCCGCCCACTCGTCAGCTCTTCCGCTCGGCGCTGCGCATCGTAGGCAATTACCCGGCATGCGTTGGGAATTTGCTCCGAACTGACCAACGCTGTCGCCGCGGGCAGAGAACATATAGAGCATCCTTGAAGCCGTGACGAGTGCAAAACCTGCGCGAGGAGCGGGACGATGAGGAACGTGAGATGAGGAACGTGAGGGTGGCCAGAGATGTACAAAGAGGAGAACTAGCAACAAAAAAAGGATAGCGCTGACGGGGAGAAAAGCACGAAGAGTGAAGGTAGCGAAGAAAGATGAGTAACACAACGAGGAAGGAGAAGAAGATGAGGATACACACACATATATAGGTAGATTATGTGGCGTAAGGTGCGAAAGAAGACAAGATATCACTCTAGACCGACCAGGCTACACGACCCGTCAGTCGGGCTAATCACATCATAGACGACCTAAAACTAACGGAGTACAACATTGCCAAAGCTGGACCAACAACAACCACACTCAAAACGAACCATGGAAATTATACGCAACGGCGTCCCAACGTGCACGACACAAAAAAACGCGTGGTGCCGCAACTTGAACACATGCGGACACCACACGATCAACATGATCAACGTTTGTAAATACGGCAGCCATGCATTGTTCACTGATAATGGCAGACACCGATGCCACAATAAGTTAAAGTACAGAGTGCACGCCACCCGAGATGGGAGCAGAACCACTGAGACCAACGGCGTCACTTCTGTGCACTGCCGAGGCCTGAGACGCCCCGCGACGGCCTGCCTGCTACAACCATGGGACTGCTTTTCCGCGGCACAGCAGTCTCGCCGTCTCAGCGTCGACTCCCACGAGAGCTCGTGTGGCTCGCAGCGGGACCAAATAGACCCACCATGCACCCGCTCAATCTTTCCCTGCTCGTGTTGTCGCCTCCGGTCTGCTCGCGTCCGCCCCCTCTCGTCATGCTTGTCCTTCTCTGCCCGCTCGCCCTCTCGGCCTCCTGCTTCTCCTTCTCGCCCTCTTTGTCGCCATCGCATCCCCCTCATCCTGCCCCTGCCTCCCCCCCTGCCCGCACCCCCGGATCGGAAGTCGTGACATCAAACCACAGCGCCGTGGAACGGATAAAAAGCATGGTCAGAATTCTCTCGATCGCCGTCGTCGGGGGCGGCCAAAGAGGGGGGTGTCCAATAGGCGGGGGTGCAAATCATGACCGGCGGCACGTGCGCGGCCCAGGGGGGGGGGGGGCAGGGACGGAATGAAACAAGAAGAGGCGCCATGAGATCTGGGGAGATACCATGGCCCCCGTTATGATATCCTCCACCCCCCCCTAGTCATCACCCCCCTCTTGGCCGCCCCCGACCGTCGTGCCCGCGCCCCTCTGCAGGCCGGGCCGCTGCGTTCGTGAAGCCCCCAGCTGCACCAGACGGAGCGAGCTCGCCCGTCGTGGCTTGCCGGCTTCGACGACGCCCGGATGCCGGGGCCCTAAAAGGGACCGAAGCTAGAAGGGCGAAGAACATCAGGGATAAGGGGCTCGTTTCTAGAGGGCAGAGAATCCACCCACATAAGAACCACCCCGACACGCGAAGCCGTTTAGCAAACGCTCCCAAAGAAGGAATCAAACAAGGCCGGGCTGTTTAGTACACGCCCAAGGCCGTTTAGTAAACGCCAGTTGTCCGGTCCGGGTGGTTTTTCCTCCCTTCATTTTCTGCAGATGTATCAGACCAAACCGCCCAAATGTATGATTCCTAATGCGAAGACGGGGACCTCAGTGAGGCCGCGTCTTAATCGTGTTATTAGGGTTATGGGTTCTTGTGTGCTCGACGATCTGAACCTCGAACCTCTGCAGCCTTCTCCTCGTTCCACCCTGCACTCTCGTCAGGAAGCCCCCACACACGCTGATCTGCCGCGGCGGCGGGCGCTGGGACGGCGGCATCGCTGCGACGTGATCTCTCGCTCCCACCTCATCCCCTCCATCTGCCAATGCACATGTCTCTCTTTCTCTCCCTCTTCCCCTTGCTTTCTCTCTCTCTCTCTCTTTCCCCATCTCTCGCTCTCTCACTCCCCCTTTCCCCCAAAAAACATATGGCGGACCGAATAAGCTGGGACGGTAATTATCATGCAACTCTGAAACGCCGCAACTCACTTCTGCCCCTCGAACCATCACATTAGTCGCTGTCTCGGGCGATCTCCAAGACGAGTGTTACGTACTTGAGTATGTGTGGTCATTACACGCATCCTGCATGATTGGGTTGCATCTCGTCAAATGTCATAGGTGTTGGATGCTGAGGTTGTTGTGCGTATGCTGCTGGTGTATGAGGTTCAACGGTGAATGCCGTTGCTACGGGCTCCTGGCGTCCGTCTATCAAGGATGCATGATGCAAAAGTAGTTCAAACATGACAAGTTCTAAAATCTGGTGTCTATACTACTTGTGGCTTCCAATCCTTTACTCCCTCCCACTCCTTCTCTTCCACTCAATCCTCCACCGTTTCCTTCTTGTGACCCTCCCTCCCTCATCGTTATCCACCCCCCTTCTTACTGTACTGCACCTCCCTCCCTACCTACTGCTGATGCTGTCACAGCTCGGCGCTGCGCGGGGATCGCTTCGTCTGCAGGTGCATGCTGTTGAAGGACTTGGAGACCTGCGCCGAGGCGCGTTGCTCTCATCGATGACGCCACCCCCAATCGAGGCTGTCGAACAACAGAACTCCGATTGAAAACTGTTCCATCCACACGAGCCTCTTCGTAGTGCACACCGCTTCGACCAGAACATGCATGTGTACCCGCTGTGTCTGGACCATCCTGCGACCATTCCTGCGACAAAGCCCACGAATCACTACGCGCAAGCGTAATGTGCCTTCGGCGTGGCCTCGAGATCCGTTCGCATTCAAAGTTTCAGACACTGCCCACAACTTGTTGGCCCAAGATGCCCACGTGCCCTCTTCCAACCAATAGTGTGTTTCAAGCCTGACGCCAACGCTTGGACCCGGCTCAGAGGTCTGTTGCACTCCCGATGTGCGAACTATGCAATGCAACCATAAGGCACGAACCGTAAGGCGCCAACCACAGGACTTCGACCGTAGTGTACCGCTCGTGTTTTAGGCACCAACCATAGGGAGCAAAGCGAAAACGGCCGACAACGACCCACAGAACACCATGGGGAGACAAACATAGAGCACCACCCACAGGAAGCCAGGCGGGAAAAACCGACTACGATCCACAAGGCACAATGTGCGCGGCCCGCACACACACACACGCCCACGGTGGGGGTGCGCAGATGTGTGCCGCCCACCATAAGGCACCGACCGCAGGACGCCAAAAGGCCGACTGCGAAGATGAAGAGCTCACTGGGCACCAGCAGCGCGGCACCGAAGCGCAACGCACAGCCCGTGGGGCGTCTGCGCACACGGCCGACAAAGGGCCACAAGGCACCACAGGGCGCCACCGCGAGCGACCAACCGAGACCCCGAGAGCAAGTGCCATGAAGCCAATGTAGCCCCAAACAGGAACAGCCATTGAGCCCGATCGGGGGACAGCCGGCTGCGACCAGCGAAGCCAACTCCACAGAGCCCGGAGCGAAAACGGCCATGCATGTCGTCGTCGTCGTCGTCGTCGTCGTCGTGGTCGTGGTCGTCGTCTTCATAGTAGTGCGGCTGGCAGCTTCCTGTGGACGACTGTCTCACCTTTCCACCACTCGGCCAATGAAACTGTGACGCGCACGGCCTTCTGTCCTCTGTGGGCGCAGGCTGAGGCTCCCCGTGACCGGAACAGCCCCATTCGTTCCTTCCCCAGCGCTCCTTTATGGCGGCACGCTGACTGCCGTACACCGACGGGGAACCGCCACCTGCGGCCCACAGGCACGCTCAGATGCCAACGACTCCCGAGTGGGGGGGGGCCACGTCGCACGGAGCGAACGCGCTGCAAACAGAGCACGAGCACCAAGTGCGGGCACGGCTGTGGGAAAGGCGGGGAAAGAGAAGCTAACGTTCGGATGGTGCCAAATGTGTCTCGCGGCCAAAGCGTCCTGAGGATTTTTTCATGGAGGCCCCCACGCCCTCCGGAGCACCCCACCACGGGGCCCAGACAACCCCGGGGGACTCCAAGATGGAGCGAACATCTGGGGAGGCCCTGGGCCGCACACGCCTCCACGAGCGGGCGAGGAGCGGTATGACATCCATGTTTGTTCCGCCGTCGGGGGCGCCTGCCCCAACGGCCGCTAATTAGCACGTGCATGCCCCGACGCGCCGCTGCAGGGGCATCCACTCTCCAGCCGCCCCTGGGGGCAGGCGTCCCCGACGGCGGAAGTTGATCTAATTGAAGGGGCCGTGGGACACACAAATAAATACACACAAATAAGAATATCCCCCATAGTTTCCCACTTTTCCTGGGTCTCTGTCTCCTCCCCCCCATTCCCATAGTTTCCCATATTCTCTGGGGACTCGACGATGAATTGTGTCTGTGTGTTTCTTTCCCTCCTGACCTACACCGTTCCCTTGCCCCCCGAACCTCACCCGCGCCCGAAACCGCTCGGCTTGTAGCTGCCCGTGGTGGGCTGCAGCCTCGAAAGCCGCCCCGTTGCGGCCTCGGCCTCGGCGTTGCGGCGCGAGGACCCGGCTCGGCGGCTCCCGCGGCCTTGTGGGGGCCTCTGCTGCCCCTTTCGGTTCGGTCGGGCGTGTCCCCTCTCGAGGCCGACTTTGGGTGATCTCCTTGTTTTAACAAATACCAGAAAATGATCAAAAATTAGCCAACCACAAAAATCGTCCGCGGACTGTGTCTGAATGTTCCTCCCCCCGACTTGACCCTTGTGGCTCCCTCTCTCTCCCCCGTGGCACCCTGCACCGTCGCCGCGGCCCCGCAGCTGCCATGGCCCCCCGCTGCCGTTGCTAGCCGCGCCAGCGCACTCAGCTTGGAATTCTTCCGCGCCTGGGTGCCCTCCGCCACTTCCTGCCCTCGGCGGTCGTCCGTCTATCCTGCTCCCGCCTTGCATGCTGGCCAATTCGCGCAACGGCTGCCCCGGACGCTGCGACGCTGCTCGGTGGTGCGTTTTCGCCTCGTCGCCGAAAAGAGTGTGTGTGTGTGTGTGTGTTTGAACTGTATGTGTGTCCTGTCTAGGTGTTCGCTGGTGCAGCCAACTCTGCCACCCTGCCGACGGAATACATATCTATATACATATATATATATATAGATATAGATATGTGTATGTGTATGTGTATGTGTATGTGTATGTGTATGTATGTGTGTGGGTGGGGGGAGGGGGGGGGGCGTGGGTGGGTCGGTGCGTGGGGGGGGGGCGGGGCAAAGGTCCAGTCCCGAGACGAGTGCTGTTCACTGGCCAGTTCGGCACCCGCGCCCCAGAGGGGTGCGGCAAGTCCCTGTCGTGACGACTTCGGCAGTGGTCTCCGACACCGCACGGTTCGAAAGATCTACGTCGTTTTGATCGCGAGGTCATACCATGGAAAACCGGCTGCGTTCAACCTTGAATGCCCCCTGCGGGTCGTCGCCGAATCGACATGACACAAACCTGCCGTAACGACCTTTCAGACTTTGACCGGTCAAACAGTGGACACATCCTGATATCATAGGTAGCACCCCGCAGTTGCGGATAAGAGTGAGGGGTCGGCGGGGTCATCGGAAGTCTGCGAGGCTCTGAAGAAGCCCATCGCAGGTGCGGATTCATCAACACATTGCACAACACGCCCGCCGCAGGCGCCGAATTTTCGTCAAAGCAATGTGGGTGGGTCGCGGGTGGGTCGCGGGGAAGGTCGCTAGATGGATCGCTGGATGGCTCGCGGGGGGTGGGTCGCGGCCTGGTCGCGGACGAGGACGACAACAACAACGCAACAACAATCCGCACCGAGGAAACCCAGCTCAGCCACGCGCCCACGGACAATGAACGATCGTTCGGTCCCCTCAATCTGATGGGTATCGTTTAACCGATCCCAATCCCCAGCGGCGTGGCCTGGGCCCCACTGGCCGATTTACCCCCCTAGGTAGGGATCTAGGCCGCTCCCTTCGGGTTCCGAGGGTGTGTGTCCCCAAGTGGGGTGGTCATCTGTCTGGTGGGGGTCCTGAAGGGGATGGGGGTGGGGGTGGGGATCGGAGAAACGATGCTGACCTGATCTGTCCTGCCTGCAGCGCGAGAGGTTTTGGGCGCCCGAGTTATCCGGGGTAACTCGGGTCCGGGGTAACTCGGGTTTGGATTCCCGTAAAACGAACCCGAGTTAGCCCTGACCCGAATTACCCCTGATGATTTTGGGGCTCTGGACGCCCGAACTATCTGGGGTAACTCGGGTCCGGGGTAACTCGGGTTCGGATTCCCGAAAAACGAACCCGAGTTAGCCCTGACCCGAGTTACCCCTGATGATTCGGGGCTCTGAAGGTTGCTGGTGAGCACGTCCTCCGACGACCTGATCCGACGTGCTCTGGGCGCGTCTGCCCCGCAGCTGCGCGCTGGCGGACGTGCGCGGCTGCACCATCGGGCACGTATGAAGGGGCCCCAGGAGACACACAAATAAACACACACATAAACATATTCCCCATATTTTCCCATATCTTCTGGGTTTCTGTCTTCCCCACCGCTTCCCATATTCTCCCATATTCTCTGGGGAGTCGACGATGAATTGTGTCTGTGCGTTTCTTTCCCTCGTGAACGTAGTCGGTTCTGTGGCCGTTGCCCGCTCGTTGCTGCAATGGGCGCAGCTCTTGCATGGACAATCAGCCAGCTTCCCATGCGGGGGCACCTGGCTGCGCGGACCAAAGATTCTCCGCGCCGCAGATTCGTGTCGTGCCAACTTCGGGGTTGGTTCCTGACACCGCGGGGATCGCTCAGCCTTGAACAATCGGCCGTTTCTGAAACGTCAGCACGTTCAACATCTGTCGATTCTGGGTCGCAAGCGGAGTTCGAACGCCGACGGTGTGGTCGCCGCCGATCGACGCGACGCGAACCTACCGTAACTCTCCCATCGGACGCTTCGCATTTAGCATGTAGCGGCAGGATCCGCCACCGTCTCCCTTGCACGCTGCGGCGTGGTAGAATGCCAAGTGCTGTCTGGCAGGGTTCCTGCAGATCTTCTACGAAGGCTCCATTCTCCCCGGACTTCTCCTGGGATGCGTCCTGACCAGGGCTTCGGGGCGCATCCAGCGGTGGCGACGCGGCCCTCCCAGGAGGCCCAAGAAGCGGAAGACGAGGGAAAGGTAGCAGCATGAGCACCCTTTCCCTCCTCTGGGCCATTCCCTCTGCCAGCGCTCCCGCGCGTGCAAGCCAAGTAGCCTCTCCACCTCTGGCCCACTGCGGGGGTCGATGTGGGGCTGTCGGCGGGGGTGACGCCCCCCCGAGGCTTATTTCAGAAACTCGGAGAACCTAAAATTGCCCCAAAGTCCTTCACGACAGCCCGACATCGCCCCAAGACAACCTCAGAATTGCCCCAAGACAGCCTCGAAGGTTCCCAAGACTGCCCCAGAAGGCTCCAAAGGAGCCCCAAGAGGAGCCCGAAGATAATCAACGTGATGGACTTTCCATACAGTGTAGACAAGCTACCGCGTTCTTGCCTTTTCGGGCTTCCGTCCGCCCAAGGCCCAGCAGGCATTCAAGATGGCCCCAGCACTGCCCAAGGGGCGGCCCAGTTGGCTTGCAAGATGATGACCCAAGAGGCTTGCAAGATGATGGCCCAAGAGGCCTCCAAGAGGACGCAAGACGGCCCAAGGAGGCCCCTCGGGCCCTAAGAGGGTTCCAGGAGACCCAGAGAGGCCCCCAAAACGGATCCCGAAAGAGTCACACTGCTTAAGGACGCCCTGAGATGACACGCACAGCCCCCCAAGAGGCCCCGAAGACGCCCCCAAGAGCCCTCCCAAAGAGGACGGAATAAGAGAGAAAATGATGAAACACGAGGAGAGACATCCCGACACGACGCGGAAAGCCGTCTCACATTTTACGGCTCTCCTAAGCCTCGGAACACAAACTGTCAAACGTTACGACTTCATGTAAGCTCCTCGAACAGTCGCCACCCAGAGTGTTGGGCTGGCACGATGGCGGGACTTGCCGCGGAGAGCTTCATCGGTACCTGTTCCAGCGCTGCGGCACTGCCTTATGCTGATGTCCAGAGCACCACAACTTCGGATGTTGATGCTTCCTTCGGTTTCTGGATGTGCGCACCAGGCTGTTTCCTAAGTTCACTCGTCCGAGCCCGCTGCTGCTTCACAAAGAGTAATCGCGACTCGCTTCAAGTCTATTGCCCTACAGTCGGCCCGTATCCGAAGGATGCGCGATGAGGATGCAAGGGCCGTGGACGCCCGCTTTGAGGCTCTTCGAGCGGGGCACGGGCGACAGTGGCCAATAATGGGCCGAAGGGCCGAGGATGCCAGGGTACTCTTGGGAGGGCTGCCCATCCTTCCCATGCGGGTTGCCTCCACTCCCACACTCGCAGCGGCATCAGAACGGCAAGAGCTATCGTCGCCCTCGTTCTCGTGCCTCCTCTCGGGGGGCGGCGGGCCCTCGGCTTGGCGGGGGGGGGCCTCGCGTCGTGGGGCGGTCGGGCCCGGCAAAGAGAGGGGCGGGGGGAGCTCCGAGCAGGCCCGGGGATTGCCCGAGCCCTCCGCCCCTCCGCCCTTCTCACCAGGCGGTGGGGGCGAGGGACAGCGGACTGGATCCAGCCCGCCAGAAAGCACCGCCCGCGGTGGGCCTCTCGGCGAGGTGGTCCGGGCGCCCGCGCCGCTGGGCCTGCTGGGAGGAGTCGCAAGGCCGTCGGGGTGTCGGGCCCCCTCTCGAACGCCGGGGTGTCGAGACACCAAGGTCTCGGCCTGCAGTGCTCGAAGGTCGCCTCGTGCAAAGCGCAGACAGGCTCTCAGCCGCTTCTCTGGTGGGCCCACATGGGCACGCCGGGGGACGCCTCGACCCTCCCTGACTCTGCCTTGCGGCGCTCGGTACCCGCGGCGAGTGCCGCAGTCACCCGCTCTCCTCCGCGGGGCGGTGGTGTGAGGGGCCCCACGGGGCCGGTCGCGACGAAGGGCGCAGGCCCGCCGCAGGAAAGCCCCTGTGCTCCTTCGGAGCTGATCTCCCAGCGGGCTCTCTCCCCGCGTGGTGGACGATCGGGGGGAACCTCAGGGGGGGACCTGCTCAGGGGGGGAGGGAACATCGGCGTGAAATCGGCGACAGATCGCCGACTGATCGGCGATGGGCCCTCGGTTGCGAATCCCCACAGTCCTGGGCGGGGCTAATCGACGTTGGGGACGGAAATGCGAGGGTACAGTGGAGGCCAGTCCACAAGAGAAACCTTCCGCAAGAAACCCAACCATGAGACCCCAGGGCGTCCACTGATCTTTGGCGTGGGCACGTTAGGCTCTCCATGGCAGAAACCATCGAACCCCCAGAAAACCAGGGCACCCTGGAGGCAAGCAGGGTGTTTTTTTGGCATGGGCCTCCACTGCACTCGACGCGAAGCGACGCCGAAGACGGAAGCGCACGAGGCTCGGGCGTTGGCAGAGCTGGGTTTAGTGGGACCTGTTTTAGCGATGCGTACTGGGGGAAGCTGGCAGACCTGGCTTAGTGTTTGGACGCCCGAAATGGGTACGGAACAAATGGGTACAATGCCCAGCAACAAGTGTTGTCCCAAACCGACAGCGGCCGCTGTTGGGCAGGCGGCCTTCTGTCTCAAATGGACACAGGCCGCGGCGGCGTGGACAGCGAGCCCTGTTCAAAATGAACAGGATCTGCTGTTGGGCATTGTACCCACTCTTTCCGTGCCCATTTCGTTCGTGCAGATAAGGATTCTGGCAAATTTAAAGGCTCTAGGTCCCCTTATCTGGGGTCCTGGCTATACCCGAGAGGCTCCCGTGGTCTGCTGCCGGAGGCGTCCCTGGACTCTAGCGGCGCAGGCGGGCCTCCCCAAGCTCACGGGGCCCGCCCCGCCGGCCCCTCGCTCTCCGCTCCGCCCCCCGCTGGCTGTTCGCGTTGTCTTCGTTCTGCTGCTCGTTCCGCTCCGCCCGATTTCCACTACCTCCCTGCCAAAACGAAAAACCGAACCCTATCCCCATCTAGGTGGCCTTTTCTCCACTTGGGGATTTACCCCCCGAGATGGGGATATAGGCAGTCTCCCTCGGGTTTTGGAGGGTATATCCCCAAGTCGGGGGCGGCGGGAGGGGGTGGGCTGGTGGGAGGCTTCATGGGGTTGGGGTTAGGTTAACCGATACTGAAAAACACAGCCGAAGTCCCCCAGAACAGCAGCGTTCGGGTCCAGCCCTGATGGACGCAGCCGTCCCCGGAGCTCCGTTTTGGCAGCCACGGGACTGCCAGCCTCCGCCTGGCTTCTGAAGAGGCATCGTGATGGCAATTTCAGCGAGGATGCTCCAGCTATCAAGGGTGAGCGTCTCTCAACGCTAGTCCTTTCGTGCGTGCGCCTGGCTCCGATGTGGTCGCGGCGGCGCCACTCTGCCACTAGTCACACTCATAAACCGTGCTCCACCAGATGGCCTCGGTCCTCTCCAACCCCGAATCTGCAATCGGCTGAACACAATATAATCGAAAAGGCGGGCCGAAATATCTCGCAGCACAACAAACAGACAAGAGTCCGCTCTTTGTGAGTAGGCAATCCGCCTGGTGAGCGAATGGTAAACAGCTGGAGCGAATACCTTACACATACATGTCTGCTCACACTCGCAAGCAGAGAACGCATAAGGAAGCATCAGGGAGGCAATCAGCAAAGCACGACCTTTTGCAGCGTCTGCGGAAGGTTTCTCCATGTGTCCATGTCGAAGGGGTTAATCTAACAATGAGCATGGATAGTGGCAAGCTCGATCGTGCTGCCAACCATTGCACACTTAGACGTTGAACATCTGGCATCGTTAGCTACAGCGGTCGCAAGCGCTTGAGATATGTGCCACATCACTGTGCGACCAACAACGTGTCATGCACCTGTGCGTCCGCGCATGCATGCGCATGCCCACATTCCGAACTCGACAACAATTTTCGTACCACCCAGTGCATGACAAGCGCCTTGAACTATCCGCCACCGTGCCTCCTTGCGGGGTGAGGCGTGGTAGAGTGACAGGTGCAGTCTGTGCTGTCTGGTAGGGGTTCTGTAAATAGGCGGCGCGCCTCGGGGGGGGAGTGAGAAGGGGCGGGCCTTCTCAGAGGGCTCGGAAGTTCCCTGGCCTTCCGGGACGCAGAACACTTCCCGGAAGGCCAAGGAGCCTCTGAGAAGCCCCGCCGCCCTCTGGGCGGGCCCTCTCTTTCCCGCTTCCCCCCCTTCGCACGCCCCCGATTGCAAGGGACCCCCTCCCGCCTCACGCTTCGCTGCGAGCACAGGCCCTCCCCGACCCTCCCTTCGGGAGCGGCCAAGAGGGGGGTGTCCAAGAGGGGGGGTGCAAATCATGACGGGCGGCATGTGCGCGGCCCAGCGGGGGGGGGGCCAGGGACGTAATGAAATAAGAAGGGGCGCCATGAGATCTGGGGAAATTTCATGGCCCCCGCCATGATATCCCCCCCCCCCTAGTCAACACCCCCCTCTTTTCCGCCCCCGATCCCTGTCTGAACCTCCCTCCCCGGGGCTCCCTCGGCGGTGCCGCGCCCCCTCTGACCACCTCCCAGGCCACCCCAGCCCAACCCGAAGGCCTGAATTTCGGGTTGGGGGGGAAGGGTTCCACATGTGTTTTCTCGATGTTTCCCGACCCCCCCCCCACTGGAAATCGAGGGTAAATCGGAGCCTTCGGCTTGGGTTGGGGTGGTGGGTGACCCTCTGCGGCTCTCCGGAGCCCTCCAGGGCCCCCAGGGCGGCTCGGCAGGGCCACCGAGGCCGCCAGGCTGCCCCGGCAGCGCCGCGCGGCGCACGCCCCGAGAAGCCTCCCCAAAAAGGAGGCTCCCAGCACGAGGCGCTTTCCGTGATGGCACCGGGAGGCCCAAGTCGGCGGTGGACAGACCTCCCTTTAGTAAACCTCCCCTTAGTGAAAACGGCCTGGGACCGAAACCGATGGAACTGGACCTGCAAAATGACGGCCGCGACGACCTCTCGCGAACCGAAAACGGCCAATTCACTCATCGACGTTTCAGGGTAGGAGGTCTGTCCACCCCCGACCAAGACACTGCCTGGCCATCCGATTTTCAGCCACGTTCCCTTTCCAATGCGAGGCGGGGACTTCTCCATATCCACCGCCCGGGAACCGACGTGGATATGGATGCATTCTGGCCCCCGGGGGCAGAATATGTCCACATTCACCGCCTGCCGAGGTCTCCGAAAATTGCTCCTCCAGGCGGTGGTCATGTATACATTCGCGCCTCGGATTCCAAGATCTTCGGTCGAATATCGCTCCGCTTGCAGTCTCCGAGGACGGGAAAAGAGCCCACCGAGGGTCCTCAAAAGGGCTCCTCGACGGCGCACGGCGTCGCCAAGGGAGCCCCAAGCTGGACAGAGGGCCCCCCCGCGGGAATCCAGGACGGCCCCTCAGACGGCCCCGATGGAACCCCCAGACTGCCAAAATTGACCCAAGGCATCGACCCCAGAAGCTCGAAAGGCCCCAATGGACCCCAACAGCCGTCGAACAGAAACACCAAACATTCCCAATGCGCCCAGCTAAGCTCCAAAAGGTGAAGACGAGAGATGCCACATGAGACGGCATCACCCTTCGGTGATAGTAAGGTCGCCACAGGGTGCTTCGCTTTCACGGTGACTGATTTGCCGCAGGCACCTGGGTATAATTGGCAGTTGTTGCCTGGACATTGTTTCCAACCCCACAACATCCACACTGCCATATGTGCTGCTGCACTTGTTCTCCTCGTTTTCCCCTTCCTGCGTATACATTGACACGCGGGAACGACCGCGTGTACGAATTAATGAGACCTGGAAAGATGGAGTGCGGAGGCCACCAGCAGACGAACCCTGGTGCTCAACCATGAATAACGTAACTGTTAAATGTGCGCTTTAAAGCCTTGCCTAAACTAATTCCTGCTGCGCCCTTGTGCAATTAATGTTGTTTTTGCTATTCTGTGGTTGCGGTCTAGGGAAATAGGCTGTATGCCAACCTGGAGCACACACTTTGTATGTGAATGTGATACACAATGAAACGCCCCCATCTGCTCACGCTCTTAAACTCCCATCCCGCTGGTGGCGCGAAGCGAGAGGACGAGTGGGCGAATACAAAACCATATTCATCAAAGGCAAGCCAGTGCGAAATTACCTGCAAAACCATAGACGTCACGTCTCTGCAACACCCCTCCCTTTGGCGTCCACTGGGTGGTGGCCCCCGTGGATAAGCCCCAAAAACACTTAGTCGCGAACGTGGGTCTCAAACAACTTGTCACTGAACTGTGGTGGTGGAAGCTGTGCGGAATCAGCTGGGTGGTGTAAGCAATGTTGTGCAAGCTATGTGCTGTACGCTGTGCGGCACATCTCACCAGCCCGTTAGGGCGTGAGTGGTTTAGAGCGCTTCCGCTTCCAACCCACTTCTTCCTCTTCGGGGAGGGATTTGCCCCTCTCCCTCTCCCCCTCTCCCTGGGTTGGACAGGGCGTTCCGAGAGGGATTAGAGTGTTGAAGATGGCCCCGGCGAGGAAGCCAGAATTATTGATTTGACTGAGGTGTTGGCCAAATGTTGGCCTCCAGAGGAGGGGGGGGCCCAATTGGAACCTCCCCCCCTTTTGATAGATCTCCTCCAAAGTAGCCTGAAGATGGCCACCGAGGCTCCCGAGGGTGCCCCAGAATTACCCCACGAGGTGCCCAGGAGGCCTAAAGAGGCCCCCAAGAGGCGCCCAAGAGACCCCAAAGAGGCCCCCAAGATGCCCCAAAGAGGCGCCTGAGAGACCCCCAAGAGGCCCCCAAGAGGCCGGCGAGAAGGCCAACATCATTGACTGTTCTGAGGTGTTTTGGCAACATGTCGGCCTCCGGGGGGCGGACCCTAATTACGGAGCCCCCCTCCTTCGATCGATCTCCTTCGAGAAGGCCCAAAGATAGACCCAGAGGCTCCCAAGGATCCCCCAAGACGGCCCCGAGAGGTGCCCAGGAGGCACCAAGAGTCCCTCAAGAGGCCCCCAAGATTTCCCCAAGAGGCTCCCAAGAGACCCCCAAGAGGCCCCCAAAGGCTGCCAAGACGCCGAGGCCTCGGCGAGAAGGCCAACATCATTGAGTCGAAAACAAGCTGGTAAGCTTAGGTATGTGTTACGCTTTAAGCGTTGCCATATCCCAGGCTTTGGCTCATATCGCATGAGCAAGAGAGCAAGACGAAGCATGGGATCTGGAGTAAAGGATAGGATGGGCATCGTCAATGGAAAAGGTATTTTCCGATCTCTGATGCAAGTCGTGCGCCTCGGTGAGGCACAATCACATATTTGGCCGGGCCCGGCTTGAGCCAGGCACGGCAGCGGTACATGCTCGATTTATACCTCGCCTTTAACCTTCTCCGTTTAAAGTCGGAGGGGGAGGAGACGAGCAGGCACCGCACTTCTACATTATGCGGAAAAACAGTGCTAAGCAGCAGCGGCTGCCTACAAGGAAAGGGCGCGCGAGTAGCCTCGCTACCGGCGAGTTTCCTCGCTATTAAAGCGCACCTGCCCGCGGGTTTCCCCGCTAGCTCGGGAGGCAGGGCCGTCCTGAGACGACCTGCCCGCCCTATACGGTGTATGTTTCTTCAGCTCGTGCTTGAAGGATTGCTGGCCGGCCATTACTTGTAGGAGCAACGCGCGGTCAATACTACCTTTGGTATGACCATCGGCAGTCATATCCCGCGTGTCACACCATTGAACGCTTTCAACGATTCCGCGCTCCATCATCTGGCGGATCCAGCTAATGTGCCCAAGCAGAGTACATTCTGTGGGCTTCTTCAGATCTTTGCTAGACAAAGACTTGAAGACAGACTCGGCATCAATAGTCAGAGTGACTTTGATACATAGACCACCCATTTCCAATATGTTCTTTAACTGTGTGGGGGTCAATGGTCCCGAGTGTAGCTCGTGGAGCGTTACAATGGTCGGGTAGCAGTCTTCCAAGTTGTGGGCTGCTGCCAGTGTTTCCGCAGAGTAGCTCGAACGCACCTGCAGTCGATGAGACTTGCAGTATGCGTCCACCAGGTGCACGACGGGTTTCCCCGCTTGCGTGTGGCCACGCCTCAGCAGGTTAGCCCCGCGGATACCATAGCCTTTGACTTCGTCGTCTTCATCTCCGTTGAGACGACGATAGCCAGAATCGCTATGCAGGTCGACTTCTCCTGTTGGGGTCATAGCTTGATACACGATCTTCTTCGGACCTGCCTGTAGTTTTCTGGTAACCGCGTTTAGTCGTCGTACCTGGATGTTTGTCGGTTCCTGGATACGTTGTAGTGAGACAACATAGACCATCAGCCATACCTGCGTGATCAACGCATAGGCTAGAGCGCCACGAAGACTGACGAACATATCAGAAATCGTCTTTGTCGCTTTGCTCTCAGGATCAGCTCCTGTGAGTTCTGGATGTGTGATAGGACGAAGCTGTTTGATGTATTCGTCCTGATCAAGAGTGACGCTCCCATCATCGGTCTTGTTATACCGAACGGCACAATTTGTGTATGTGTGCTTGTTCAGTTTGCACTTCCCAAACGTATCTTCAACACACTTGACATACTTGTCAATAGCCTCTTCCTTCCCAGTCATATTGATGTCATCAACGTGCTTGGCTGTCAAGAGGTTTGAGCTCATCTCGAACTCTTCGTCGTATGAAGTAGGCTGTAGCCCAAAGCTCCTAGTGATGGACCTGAGCTTCAGCGAGAATGCCCTGGGAGCATCCTTCGTGCCCGTCCCCGGCT